ACGGAAGCCAATTTTTGGTCGGGTTTACCCGTGTTAACTTAATGTGCTCTGATTGAGAATTCAGTAGGCCGAAACATACATCCACTTCTCCCTGTGTCGCACAGACTATGCTTCATAGTCTCTGTAGGAAACGGAAAAATGAAACTGTAGGAGCTGTTGGTCGACTAAAATTTCAAAGAACTCGTCCCAATGCACTTCTACTTCATGCCCGAAATTTCTAAAGCGGATGACATTTCCATAGCTAGACAAGTGATGTAGAAGTAACGAAAAAAGCGTGGACCCTGCTTTTTCGCCTTCTTCCATATGGAGAAAGCTTCCAATCACCTCCCCGCGGCAGGTCCTCTAGGAGGCGCTCTACGAAGGTACGACAGGTCCAAGTCGGTCACAGTCACGCAACCCTCACGGCCTAACAAATACAGTAGATGCCCCAGTTGCAGTATCATAAGAGCTAACCTTGAGCCCGTTTGTTTCTCTGCTTACAAGAGATGACAAACTAAAAAGTTTCACTGATGGATCACCGAAGACCATCATCTTTTCCAGTGACATCGCTCTGACATCAGAGAACAGAGAAGAACTCCAGGACAAACAGCAGGAATAGCGGGAAAAGCAGCGGAGCTCTGGCTGAATGAGAATCGTAAAAAGTCGCTCGGATTCGAGTAGGGCACGGAATCATTAGTAGAGGGTTTTTAAGAAGCCATTGGAAGGGTACAGACCTGCCGGTATCTGAGGAGCGACCTAGACGCTGACGTTGGCCTGGACCAGGCCGTAAAAGCGCGAATATACCAGCATAGACGAAGTTAAGAGCATTATGATATCCTCTGCAACCGCCGGTGCTTCGTGACGGTCAAAGGAAAGATGTCCCAGGCAATGTTGGCGATCATGATTTTCTACGGCAGCGAGGAGTGCTGCCTCGAAGTTGAAATCGTGGAAGACAGTTTTAGTCCGCCGAAATGGGCACGCATAGATGGACCTGCGGTAGGACGCGTCTACAGCAAATCAGAAATAAAGAGGACAGGGCGTCATAAGAACAGCTTATGTTGCCAGCTAGGGATGACAGAGCATCGTCCACAGTGGTATGGACACGCGCTGAAAGACCTTCAAATTATCCAACAAGGAGGGTAATGTGGTTCGTGGTCTGAGGGAAGTGTCCACGAGGAGCCCTAAAAGTGAAACGGCGAGGCACGATCAAGAACAACGGACCCTGCAATGGCGCATGATTACCAATCACCCACGCACGCATAAATTTCACTATTTCTATTCGCCCACTCCACAGGTGAGATTTGCTGTGGGTTGAGAAGCTCAGAGAAAAAGAGTTAAGAAATCATTGATACTTGAATAACCTACTTGAACGTCCTCGAAACCCTCCTTTTCTCATTCACTAATGATACGGTGATTGATCCATCTTCTACGACGTCAGGTAGTGCGACGATTTTTGCGACATTAATCGAACCCTCCGGAAAACCATTCACCAAACACTAAAAAATCTAGTTTGCCTCTAGTTCGTAGGAAGCCTTTGTATAGTACAAGCAGTTTTCCTCAGTCGATACTGACTGATCATATGACGGCTCCACCGTATATTTTACTTTATGATACTCAGGTTTCCTGGAACCCGTGTGATTGTAAAACAATTTCCATGAATTAATTATAGACACACAGAGATCACAGCAAATGTTGAAAAAAGTAACAGAAAATGCGTGTGATCTTACTTGTGTTATGCGAAAAGTTGTGTTGCACACTATGTCACCCTGTAGGCAATTTCTACTATCCATCAAAAGCCATATCTGCCCGTCAGAATATCTGCCACAAACTCTGCATCGCTTTATAGAGTCTGATCAAAACACGATAGGTGAGGTTCGTTACAGGATGACACAGCGAATTCTCACTGAAAAAGCACCATGTGCGAAAGAATGGCACTTGCAAAATGAGAGATGCGGGAGGCGGAACGTATCAAATCGGGGTGAAAATGTAGTTGGGGGGGGGGGGGGGGGGGGGGNTAGTTGGGGGGTGCCAGCGCCCTTCCGTCTAGTTGCTCTGCGTCTCTGACCCAGGCGGCAGAGTTCCTAGAGCCCGCACTGGAGCGCGGATATGGCCTCTTAATAGTGATAGGGAATGTATTCTTTAACAAGGGGAGGGGCTCCGGGGTAGGTGAAGAGTAAACGTTGTGCAAAAAGTTGAAATGGTTCAGAATAGCCCTTCACTAATAACTTTACTCGACGCGTGCGGTGCGTCCACGGTGCGCAATCTACTTAGCGCAGTCACACTCCTCAAGTTGAACCCATTCCACTCTTTTCTACTTTATCACAACTTTCTCTTGTCCTTGCACTACGTTTACCTCTCACCCACCCCGGAGCCCCTCCCCTTGTTGAAGAATACATTCCCTATCACTAATAAGAGGCCATATCCGCGCTCCAGTGCGGGCTCTAGGAACTCTGCCGCCTGGGTCAAAGACGCAGAGCAACTAGACGGAAGGGCGCAGGCACCCCCCAACTACATTTTCACCCAAATCGGTTTCGAATAGTCTTAAAATGAAGATTATAGGATTGGAAAACGTAGGCAGGGACTACTGGGTGACCTGAAGAAGATCCGTCCATGGTGGCTGTGAGCGGTTCTTATTGGTAAAATTTACAATTCCATTTCACGATGTTGGAACAAGCTAGAGGAAATGAAAGGAGTTCAGAAGGGAGAGGATCAAAAACACACATGGTTACTCGGAAGGAGTTGGACACAGGGTGGCTGGTAGGGAGCACCGAGGAGGACGAACTGAGGTGAGAGAAATTTAGGTATACCGAAGGCTACGAAATGAAAATTAGAGAAATAAGTCGGTTCGATTTCTTGCACCAGTTGACGCGTGCACCTAGCTGAACTATAGTAGAAAGGAAAATCCGCAGCAACGTTCGTAGGCAGGGACAATATTGAGGAGAGATCAAATTGTTATAGAGATCGTTATGAAATAATGTTAGCCAAGCTAAATTTAAAAAAANTATTGAGGAGAGATCAAATTGTTATAGAGATCGTTATGAAATAATGTTAGCCAAGCTAAATTTAAAAAAATAAAAATGCAAAATGTAAAAATAAAAATGATCAGTATTGATGGAAATCGCCTATCGCCATCATCATGCAAAATATAAGAAAGCGGAGTATCGTTACTAGTTGTATAAAGGATGTGCATAACACAAAGTACACATGGTGACAAGAGTAGTGATTCGTTCCGCCCCATATACTCAGACGAATCACAGTGGCCCATCAGTGAGTAAGAGTCAACTCCACTTTAAAATGACTAATACACATTAACAAATTGAGTACAAGAAAAGCACAAAGGGGATGATCGAGAAGAACAATAAAATCATTATACGCGACAAGTGAAAGCCATATGCATATTGCATTTCTATAGAGGCCTAAAATCAACTGAGATTTGCCTGTTAATGGATGTGGGATACTCAGATTTATTAGTGCATGTAATGTTTAAACCACCTTTTTGTGTAGAAGGGCTATCAATAACCTACTTGATAATATCAATAATAA